GTGCTACTTCCCCTGTCTCCTCCTCCTGGTGCAGAAATCTCTGACCCCAAGTCTCTGTCTTATCCTAACTTCTGCACTATATATATTGTTTGCTAGTCTGTTGACTTCAATGTGACCAAGTACATGTTCAAATCCTCATTCTTCATCACATATTCAGGTGAATTTAAGTAACTATCAACAGCTACTTCCTCCTCTGCTAATTGAGTCATCTAATACCTGAGAGGAGTGGAGCACTTGATAAACAAAAATAGTGCATCCTTTAGATCTGTGACACAGGTATAAGTGACCTCAATGGTGCTAGATTATTTTAATTCCTTATTTTCACACACCCCCCGCACACACACTTTCTTGGGTCAAGATCACATGTGGTACCCAAGGTGCTTCAAACTCCGAGGCTCATAAGATCTTCCTGCCTTGGCCTCCTGAGTAGCTGAGACAATATGCATCCAGGACTGCCATCTACTTATTTTATTATTTTAAATATTATTCTTTGCTTTCAAAAGTGTTTCAGTCTTTAAATTTATTGTCTGACATAGCACAGCAGCTTTGCCAGAGTTACTATTTTCAGAGCACAGGGCTTTTACCCTTATTCCCTTTTGCATATCATCATCTTCATATTTAGAGGTTATTTCACGTAAGAGCACATAGGTGGGTCTCATGTTATATCATTCCTTTTGCTTTAGTACCGTTACCCATACACCTCTCACTATGTTGTTCTCAAACTGACACTAGGATTCCATGATTTCCCCCACTTTGCTGTAACCAACTTTCATGGGTTTTTTTAAACCAACATATTCAAAGGTGTGTTGATTTATGACTTTGTTCTGTTACTATAAAAGAAAATTCATGCAACATGCTGTGACATTGGAACATAGGATTTGGGAAACCTGAATCCGTGTCCCTGGTCATAGTCACACATATTTGGCTATAGAATAAATAATTCCTTCACCCCTTTCCTGTAAGAACTGTCTTTTTTTATCTGACCTGTCTCATTTCCCCAGCCAGTTCCTCTGACTGTGGCAGACTTAATATCCTTCCTATCTGTGTTCTAATTTGGTCATTTGCCAGTTATAAAATTGACCACTGTCTGTTTGCCTAAGAAAGGCAGAGTCTTCTCTGGAACATGGTGTTTTTAGATTTCTTTGCAGCCCTGGTGCTGCTGACATTCGAAGATCTGGGCATCTTTACACATTTGTCATGGCAGGAACAACCACTGTGATGAACTTTTTCATCCTATCCAGCAGATAAAATTTTGACCCAAATCTTCTTGATTAATGTTTTCTCATTCTCTCTCAATGTCCCTCCTGTAACTGGCAAACAGAGATGTTTTACACCTCTTTCTTTCCAATTCCAAATGCCTCGAGAAACACTAGTCATGAATATTGCATTTTCTATATATTTTGAGAATACTCAATGACCCAAATCCCTGGCTTTACAATTTTTGCCTAAACATAGACACTAGTACCCGAAGAATTTAGTTAATTCCTCCTCTACAAATAGATAAATTTATAATGCAATGATGCTGGCTGCAAAGAACTAATTTGAATATGGAAAGCCTATGCTGTGTCTATTTTTCTCAAAGAAGCCTGAGTCTCTTCTCTGCCCATGCTCTCCTCCCTAGCAGACAGAGGTTGCCAGGTAATGAGACCACGCTCACACACTTTAACCACCTTCGACCAGATTATACATTTCAAAACCGTAGTACTGTACAAGGTGACCTCATCCAGGACATTCACATCAAGTGGCAGGACCAGGTTTAAATCCAATAAAAGCTCCTTTGTTGCATCACACTGGCCGTCTCAGTCCAGTCAGGTGCCACATGTGAATTCTTCAGTCTATGACAGACCACATTAAATGGCTATGTGAGCATGTGACTCAAAGAGGAAAACAAATACAAATGATATATTTTATGACTGTAAAATTGAAACTGACTATAACCAGTTCTTCCTTTGTTCCCCCCGGATCAACTTTTGTTCCTCTAAGGTATTTAGAACTTGGACTATAACTAAAGATGCTCAAAATAGAATTAAAGAGATTATGGTTCACCCTAATCCCAGTGATTATCATCTTTACAAGATGTCTGAGGCTTGCAGATATATGGAGATACAAAGAAACTGCAGCGGAATGAGGCCACTTAAAGATGGGGCCGAGGGCTGGGTAGATGGTTTGGTGAATAAAGTACTTCCCTTGCAAACATGAGGAACTGAGTTCAGTCTCCAGCTCAACATGAAAGACTCTGGGCTTGATGGTTGTATTTCTATCCCTGGTGCCATTGTGACAGAGGCAATGGATGCTTGGCACCCCCTGGCCACTCAGTGCAGCCCAATTAGCTAGCTGCTTATCCTTCCAGAACAGCTAGGTAGATGGCTCTCAAGGAACAACACCAAAAGGTGTACTCTGATCTTTAGATAAGTGTGCACACACGCACACATTCATGCACACAGACACACACACCATAATGATTAAAATTAAACTGAAATAAAATTTAAAATGGGATAGAGATGAGAATGATATTTCTAAAGCTAAGTGACATCAAGAATAGCTGCACCTACCAGACTACCAGAGGCTGGCAGAGGCATGGGACAGGTTCTCCTAGAAGGCACCAATTCCAACGTGTCCATTTCAAATTCCTGCTTTCCGTACTGTGACAGAATATATTTCTGCTGTTTGAGAATACCTAGGGTTGGGGAGGGGGTAAATTTCTATAGCAACCCTGGGAAACTGACACAATAGCCTAGCCTTTCTCTTAAAAATAACCAACGTGAAGGAAACAAGGCAATTTTCTGGTTGATTTTTTTTCTTTAGCTCTCTGGTATTGACGTTGATAGTGACTTGCAAGGTGGGCAAAGGATTCCTTGTTTCTTTGCATATTTGTTTATCCCCGATAATTTTAAAGGAGAATCACTTCCAAGTGCAGAAAGAAAATGAATAAGTATATAAATTGTAGAGACACCAAAGGGATAACAAAATTCTTTGCCTGGAAATCTGGGACAGTAAGAAAACACTTAATGATATTAAGTAGAGACCTAGCAAGATGGCCCAGTGGTTAGGAGCACTGATTGCTGTTGTAAAGGACATGGGTTCAATCCTTGGAATTTACATGGTGGTTTACTATCTTTTGTAATTCCAGTTACTGAGGATCTGATGTTGTTGTCTGGCCTTGATGGGCACTAAGCATGCATTGTATGCCAACATTCATGCAGAGAAAACACTTTCACACATAAAATTCATCTTCAAGATACTAAGTAAAGGAATCTTTTTGACAAGGCTATCAGCAGCGTAGTGAATGGCTGAGCTCACGAGGACAATGCTCACTTGGGCAGAAGTAACACAGGTATAAATTACTGCTAATAACAATGATACCAGTTATTAACTCCACTGATCTTGCATCATCTAAATTATTCTTTTACATTTCTTTTTTCTGTTTTCTTTGGGGGAGAAGCATGCACCAGAGCTTACACATGAATACCAGAGCACAATTTGAAAGAGTTGGTTCTCACCTTTTACCAGAGATAAAACTCAGACTGTCAGGCTTGGGGCAAGCACCTTTATCTGCTGAGCCATCTCATCCCACCACTGCATCATCTCATTTAAAACAAACTCGTGTGGATGATATTATTACGGCAGGTGCAAACACTGAAGGACTGAGTGTTTAAGCATCTTGTCATGTGTCATGCAAGCGAGTGGTACACTGAGAATTTGAATCCAAAGTTAAAGAGATCTTGAAACCTATGTTCTAATATTGTATTATGAAACACAGAAACTTCTGTTTAAGATACAGCTTGCTTTTCTTTTTATGTGTGTATGTTTCAGACATTTGTGCATGTGAGTGCAGAGCCCTCGGAAGCCAGAAGAGGGTGTTACGTCCCCTAGAGCTGAAGTTACAGGCTGTTGTGAGACACGTGACCAAACCAGCTCTCCGCACACAACACCTTCCCCAATATCACTTGTAAAAGAAAACTTAGAAATCCTATTTTGGGCGGAGGCTATTGTAATTTATTTATATGATGTCTTTATGAATCTTTCCTGAATTGACATTTGACTTGATATTTGATTCTTAATTTATCATTGTCATACAGAAATGAGAAACATCTTATAGGATAGATGCTTGATGCTGTCTACTCTTAAGATCATTGGAGATTTGGAGACACAAAGTGAAGATTCTTTGGAAAAACGAAATGAGTAACAAATGGATATAAACAAGCATTTGTTACCATATCTTTTTACAAGAGAAAACATTTTTTCAAGGAAAAAAAAACTACCTTACTTCAAGACCTGAAAAGGCATGAATTTGATATTTACAAAGTTGCAAATCAGTAACTTGTAACAAATATATATACATTGTGAGAAATGGATGTCCTCCCAATTTTTATGGTTAGCCTTGATTCTAAATGTCACACAGTCTCTAGTCACCTGCAGAAAATCCTCAATTGTAGAATTAGCCAGTTTGTATTGGTCTCTGAGGGATTGTCTTGATTATTAATTAGTGCAGGAGCGTCCCGCCCACGATGGGCAGCACTGTTTACAGGCAGATGGACCCTGGCTATATTAAAGAAAAACCAAGGTGAGTGTGAACCTGTAAGAAGCCCACAAGCAGATTCCTCTATAGTTTCTGCTTCATTTCTACTTCAGCTACTGGCCTGACATCCCTCTCTATGGACTGTAACCCAGAAATGTAAGTCTTCTAAAGAATGTTTCCTCCTTAAGTTGGCTTGGTCAGATATTTCATCACAGCAACTGAAAGGAAACTAGATCATCACATTTTTCATTTGACTCATTAGCCTGACAGAAAATACGGAGCCATAGGAAGGCTTGGTAGGGATTTCAAAACGCTTTTCTTTTCTAGAGAGAGACCCGTCCAGGAGAGATATGTAACTTACACAGTACACTTAGGGATCCTCCCAACCACCACAGGTCTCGAGTCCCCTGGGGCTATTCTCCAGGTGACCCGCATCAGTGACCTCCAGCACATATCCCACTCGTTCCATCTAATTCCTCACCTCAGTTAAAACCGACCAACATCCAGATCCGAGCTAAGAAGAAACAGCAGCGTGGTGACCTCAGCATGCAAGCAATGCTATTGCCAACATTTCTTTGTTCCAAAACGGTATCCTCCTGCATCACTTTCCACCTTTTCCTCTGAGGCAGGGTATCTTCTTGAGCCCATAATTTGCATCTCAGATAGGCTGCCACTCAGCGAACTACCGCAACCCTGCTGTCTGTCTCCATCCACCTCCACACCAGGGCGGCAGGCACTGCAGGGGCCACATCCAGCTCGCTATGCAGGTCCTGAATGCGAACTTCTATCCTCATGACCGCAAAGCAAGCGCTGTTAACCTTTGAACCCTCTTCCCCGCCCCCAATTAAGTAATGGTTTTGGTGTAAAGTTATGCTGTTCTTGTGTTCAAACAGAGGCTATAGTCCTACGTAAGACGAGTACTCAGCAAGCACTCCACAAAGACCCCTTGTGGTGTTTGTGATGGCATCCAAAAACAGTGAGTTATCTTGGCTTAGACCGTGTGACAGACCTCCAAAACAACCCTTCTTCCAGGGGATGCAGAATGAGAGCTACATCTGCAGAACAGTAAAATTTCCCAGGACCAAATGATCTGTGCTTTGTTATACTTTTCACCTTTTTACCTACTCACTATTGTTGTAAAAGACGCTTCTCTGTTAATACATGCTTAGTCTGTTTTATGGCCATAATTAGTTCCAGGAATCCAGTATAAAATAGAGAGTAGTCAAAATTATATGTTTAGTTATGAATGATTATTAATTGCTAATAAAGAAATTTAATTAATATGGGTCTACTTCATTAATATGTATAAGAGAAGGGTTTGGGATTAAGGAAAGAACCATTGGAACTGGGGAGATGGCTCAGTGATTCAAGTGTTTGTCATTCAAGCAACAAGACCAGACTTCAGATAGCCAGAACATCAATGCCAGGTTGTCCTGGCAGCTTGCCTGAAATTCCAGCCTCAGAAGGTGGAGACAGTTATCCCTGAAGCACGTTGGCTACTCAGACTAGCCCCTTCATTGAGCTCTGAGTTTCAGTGCAGGATTCTGCTTCAAAGAATAAACTGAAAAAGCCTGGGTCAAAACTGGTCTCGCTGAACATAGCGGACAAGGAGGACTACTGAGACCTCAAGAACAATGGCAACGGGTTTTTGATTCTACTGGACCTATTGGTTTCGTGGGAGCCTAGGCAGTTTCGTGGATGCTCACCTTACTAGACATGGATGGAGGTGGGGGGTCCTTGGACTTCCCACAGGGCAGAGAACCCTGATTGCTTTTTGGGCTGACGAGGGAGGGGGACTTGATTGGGGGAGGGAGAGGGAAAGGGGAGGCGGCGGTGGGGAAGAGACAGAAATCTTTAATAAATAAATAAATAAATTAAAAAAAAAGATGTTCAAAAAAATAATAAAAAAATAAAAGTCAAATATATAATAACAAAAAAAAGAATAAAGTGGAAAAACAATGGAAGATTCCTACACCAACCTCGGACTTCCACCTGCACCTGTGTGCCCAAATGCCAACATGCCTATGCATGCATGTACACTCCACACATAGAAATACATAAAAAGAGAAAGTGTGGAGGAAAGACATTTGGGAAGGATAAGGTCCTTCTTAAGAGAGGACCTCCAATTTTGTCAAATTTCACTTAGAATATAATTATTTCTATATTCGGCATTAAAGATACTTCGACGCTTCATGAAAGAAAACACATCTTCAGGTGAAACAGGTATTGTTGATGTCTGCATATGGACTGATGTCTAAGGGTTGGGCTTCTGCAGAACTGCTTAACTGAGGAGGATGTTTATATGACCCAAGATTTCACTCTCTTTTCTAAGGAAACTCCCTGGGATGTTTTTAGTTTTGATACTCAAACTGCCTTAAGAGCACCTTCATCCCGGACAAAACTGATGGTTGGTCATGAACATGAGTCCTTTCATCCTTTGGGTACTGTGGCTTTTATTCTCAAGCCTGTCTTTTCATTGCTAAAAATGACCTCATGCAAATGTATTTGGAGACAGAAAAGGACATTTCTCTTTGTGGACCTCTACTTAAAAGCCATAAAATGTCCCAGATAGTGTCCAGCATGCTTCCAAATATGCCACATTGGCTAGAATGCTATATCATTTCTCTGTCTCAACCAGTCACTGCAAACAGAAAGGAAATGGATGTAACCAGTTCAGCCTAATGAAGATTCAGTCACCTGAGCTGTGACACTCACCTTTCCTTAGCCCGGTACAATAAGAAACCAACAAGGAAAAAAGACTGAGTGCTGCTGGCCTCAAGAATTTCTGTAACAGATGTCCATCAATGCTTCGTTTCATCTTCTGCTTACCTCCCCATTCCATATACACACCTTAGAGAAGGCAAGTCCTTCCTGTCCACATTTTAGGATACCCAGCGGAAAGAAGGAATGACCCTTTGCAGAATTTAAAAAGCATTCCCAGATGATTCTGAGATTCTTAATCCCTTCACGTTCTGATGAGAAAGAACTTGTGGACACATCTGGACTATTGTGCCTGCAGACATTGTAGCCATAACACTTGCAAAGTCTCCACTCCTAATGAAAATCAGACTGCAGCTTGACAGCCCCAAGAGTTATGAGTGATGGGTTTCCTCACATTGCATCCCTCACATCTGCATAGTCAGGGGTGTGTCTATGCACCACCCACCTAGCCCTGGCTAGCACTGAATGGTACCACTTACCATGGTGCCAAAGACTGTGTGGTGTGGTGCCCAAGGTCATTTGTATGATCTGGTGCTTATGGCATGAGCCTCTTTAGTGTTCATATCATGGAAAGCGATTCCCTGCAAGAAGCACCAGCGGAATCGCCAATTTATCTACGAAACAGCCCTCATGGGAGGAAATGCTCTACTTTGTCCTCATAAGCCAGCAAGACTCATTTGGAATTCATTTTCAATTTTTCCCCAGATTTTCAAAAGCCAAAACATTGAATTGAAGCTTTGGTATTCTTCAGTTCCAGGGTTTCAAAGATAGTCTGAAGCAGTATTTGAGCTCTAGGTTAAAAAAAAAAATTAAACAAAAGTGTCAAACATTAAAGCAGGTCATTTTTCTGCCCAAACCGGTAGATAGCGTTGGGAGGTTCTGGAATGACTGAAGTAACACCTTCAATATTTTCAATGGACGGAAGCACGGTGACCCCATTAGTTGCCTTTCCAGGAGATTTGTGCCGAGAAGCTTAATCTCCACTGACTCCCCCTCCCCAGGGCACCCCACATACCATATTGCATCAACAGACCCGAATGCCCTCTACAGATGCAGATATTGGGTGAATATTCTCTGAGTAGGTAGGGACCAAGATGGCTGATGGTTTAAAATAATTAAAAGAGCCCTGTGTGCAAATGTCAAAATAGAAAAAAAAATAATAGCGGGGAACGGGTCAAAGTGACAATACAAATGGCCAGATCGCCCTATTATCACTTGCTGTACGTCTCACAAGACAACTGATTCCCGCTCTGTATGGGTTCCAGCATTCAGTGATTTATTGGGTAATTCAGCATTTGCCAGTATGTCTTGTGCTAATTAAATGCATCGCACTCTATTCAGAAATGTCACAATTGATTTGTCTTCTGCAAGCACTGACTTTATTTCAATCTCTGGAAAAGATTTTATGAGCCTCAGATAACTTATCCTGGCACATTCATCTCCCAGGATAGCTTCTGCAAGTGAGGGAAGTGAGAGAGGGACCCCTTCCTGAACGTTCACTGCAGATACCTTTCGGACAGCTATTTAGCCACTGTATGCTGTATATCTGAGGAGTGTGGAGGTTTCTTGAATTTACAAACTGCTCCATTAGCCTGCAAATGCATTTAAACATGACAGAAGTTAACTTGAAATGATATTGGCACAACTTATGGGATAATGTTAGATCAATCCTGAGAACATGCGCTTTGAAAGTATGCTGTTTATTAGGGGTGTTTATTCATTCACAGATTGATTTTGACAGGATTTAGCTGTTAACTAAGTTGCATGCAAGAGGAAGTCACCTAATGCCATTTCGGGGTGCAAAGAGGAGGAAGTGAAGCAGAATGGGGGTCTGAAGGGAGTGAGACTCATCTCATACTCTTACAGAATAATAATGGTGGGGGCTGACGAAGGATTTGTTGCTGTTTAAACCCGACGGATTTCCCTCTCTTCCCCGTGCCTCCACATGCCGGGTGCTCTTCCAGGAGGAGCCACTGAGAAAGAGGAGGAAGAATTAATAGAGCCTAGTTCTTAGAAATTTGGAATTCAAGCACAAATTGCCATGATTTATGAATTGATAATCCACATTACAGAAAGAACTATGGCCATATCTATCACACTGGAAAAGAGAGGTCACTGTGTTGAGGAGTGAAAAGATCATTCAAAGCAGAGTGGCTGCAGTCCAGAGGGAAATGCTGAGAGGGTGCTTTCTCGAAATTGGTAATGTGTTAGTGTGTGGTACTCCTTTTATCTCTTCTTTTATGTTACTGTCTGTGATTGAGTAGGGGGTGTGCACTACACAGGACTAATGCCAATAATGTCTGTCTGATCTTCCAATCAAGCCATACTTTTCTTTTAAAATGAAGTATGATGTTAGTCATAAGACCAAACTCTTCACTATTCAGTAGGTGTCTATTGCCTTTTGGTTTCTGTCCGATGCAGGGAAAGTCAATTCCACGTGAGACTAATTTGGATATCCAGAAGAACTTCAAATCATCCATCACCTTGCTACTCAAATAATGAAGCCAGGTTTTAAAAGCTATTCTCTGTTGGATTTGGTCTCAAGGTATCTAAAATAAATAACCTTCACAGTAGCTGAAAGATTTTTCAACAACACTGCAGAAGAAAGTCATGACCTAAAGTCTGAGATTTTCTACATGGTAAACTTGAAAATACACTCTTCTTTTGAGTTAATAGACTAAGTTATCGGGATAAGGATCCCTTAAGGACTGTATTCACAAGTGTACAGTGTCAAAGGGGCAGAACGGAAGCCATGAAGCACTTTTGGAAGTATAAATTCTGACTCTTCATACCATACTCTACCATTGACACTGTGTTATAGGATACTCCATAGACAAAGTCCAAGAAAGATGGATTAACCCAGAACTGAGTTATCCAGCTTAAAGTAGCCTATTATTAATTTTTTGTTCTTGTAACGTTTGGGGACCAACCTAAGCATCCTACACAAGTTTCCATGACTGGGCCACACCCTGCACACTGGGGTAAGACAGGCAATGCATTGTTCTACCCAGATCCTTTTTTTAAGTGACTTTCATTCCCCAGG